GAGCTGTGTGCCCAGCTTTGTGAAATCTGGTATTGGTCCAGAACGTCAGTAAGTCTGAGGCTCCCGGGTAGGACAAGAGGAGCTTCCCCATGGCATTTAGTGATTTTCCTGTTCACAGAGCTCCAGGAAAGCCCCAGATTCTCTAATGACTTGACCAAGGGCGGTAGGGGCCGTGTAGATGTGTCCTGCCCAGTTTTTCAGCTTCTCTTGTTGTCGTCTCTGGTGTCACTGCAGCAAAGGCTATCTGAGGACAGAGTGACCAACCTAAGGTCAATCAGTGTGCTGGGCCTTGCTCTGGTTGGCTGGGAAACTCCCTCATGTCACTTACAAGAAAGAAGACAAGCTTATCTCTGCATTTTCCTGTTTCGATAAGCAACCAGGGATGTAAGTTTTGCCAAGCCTCAGGCGTGTATGCCAAAAAGCATGAGCCATCCCGAGTCTCCTAAGGCTAGTGAGGCTGCAACTCTCATGGAGGCTCATTGACTTAATCATCTCAGCAGATGTGCTGTAAGTTCTCCCTGGTGCTGGAAGGCTCGACAGCATTTCTCTTTCTACGCACAGTGGGGGCTGGGCACGGCAGCCAGGGTTTCCGTGCAGTGGCCACGGGCCCTCGCCGGCTGCCTCTCCCGACAGAGCCTCACCTTCTCTTTCCATTTCTGTCCACTCTCAGCTCTACCTGGATGCCAGCCTAAGCCCAGCCTTAGGGCAAGAGGAGGTGGAGGGAAAGTGAAGGAAAATGGTCAGGGCCCCTCAGGTGTTCAGAATCTTGCTGAGCATTTGATGTAAATAGGCGCGTACACCCAGGTGTTCCTTGGTTACTGTCTAATGTAAGTGTGGATGTGCACCCAGGTGTCTTGGGTTATGACTTGAGTGTAAAGGACAAGTGGCTCTGATTCACGGTGCACCCCCGTCCCCCACCTCCGGGATGCCCCTGGGTGGGGGGGCACAGGGACGACGCTACTGCTGCTGGAAGCTGTTGCTGCCAGTGCCCTTGGGATGCCCCAAGAGGCCACCGCTGCTACTGCTGCTGTAAGCTGCTGCTGCTACTGCTGAGGACTGAGCTCGTGTCACCTGTCAATGGCTCCCGGGATCTTTCCCAATGACCTAGCGTGGACCTGTGTGTGTGAGGTCTATGACCCAGCCTGGCAGGTGAGGGGTCTGGTGACCCAGTCTGTACAATGGGTTTGAGGGGTCTGAGTCCTAACCCTGACAATACAAATGGAAACTTAGTGTAACTAAAATAGTGAAATGTTTGGCTTTAGTGATGAATTGCCTAACCAGACAATTGGCGTAGTCGTGTAGCAATACAGGAGGGCATCAGACATGCACACTCTTCTTTCTCCCCTTTGGATTCTTTTAGCCTTTCCAGATATGGGTGCTGTGGAGGAGGGGAAATTCCAAGGCAAGGAATTGTGAAGTGCAGCCTCCTTGTTTTGCCCTGAACATCCCAGACCAGCATCCCTGTTTTTACGTCTCCTGTCCACATGTAGCCAGAGAGAGAGGCCCTCGGAGGAGTGATTATACAACAAAGAGTGCAGGTACGACATCCAGGCCAGGAGCAGATTGGAGAACATAGGAGCAGGGGCCCAAAACAAGCCAGAAAGAAGCAAAAATGAAGGAACGTGGTTATTGTCAGAGCAGAGTTTTGTTCCTCTGGGCAGATCCTGCCCTTCTAGTGCTGTGATAAGATTCTGGAACAAGCTGGTCTGACTCAGCGTTTGGGGATTGTAGATGGGGCCCTGACCACGGGTGGCTCTGGTGAAGCCTGGGGCAGTGACTGGGATGGGAAACCGGCTGAAGGACGTCTCGCTCACAAAGAACATTTTTATGAGGTTGAGAACATGTCAGTTTTTCACATCGAGGAAGGCGAGACTGATAGGAATTGCAGAACGCTGCAGCCTCTCAAGCCCCACCGGCCCCACCCCTGCACTCACGCTGTTCTCTGGGAAATCTACACCTTCCAGGCCAGGGTTCCTTCCTGACCTTTGGATCACCGAGCTCTCAAGACTCTGAAACTTGCAAAAATGCACACGTGTGTACACACACATACACATACACACACACACACACACAATTTGGCATTCTGTTGTAGGGGGGTTACGGACGCCCCCAAACCTGTCCGTGGTCCCCAGGAGGAGCCCCCCGTGGATGGTGTATCTCAGGTCTGCCAGTGTTTGGATACTTGATCCCACTGGGTTGGCTACAGGGGACCCCTGAGCTCCGTGAAGCCCATCCCCCTGCTACCATAGTAACTCAGAGCTCTCAGCCTTCCTGGGCACCCCCTTCCCCCGCAGTGCGGGGCATCCTCGTCCTGGGCTCCCAGCTGCCTCCACATCTGGATGGGCCTCCGGACACACGAAAGTGGCCATCGCCACTCCCAGCTCTCTAGGGAGGGCAGCGGCTGGTTTCCTCCTGCCCGGCTGGGCACACACACAGTTAATCCTCGGAGGCTGCTGTTTGGATAAAATGCGCTGGGAGCGTTCTAGGCTCCTCGGCGCTCACATCTGGCTGGGGTTTGCTCTTTCCGTGTTTGTCCCATTTTCTCCGTCTCTTCCTTGACTTTCGAGAAACCGCGTTTCCGCTTCTGGCCACAGAGACCTTGGAGCTGAGAAGATAAAGGTGCTCGCACCTCCCCTCCCCACCCCCCTTCTTTGCGCCTTCTTCCCCGAGGACTTTTCCTCCCTGCTCCGTCTCCTCCGACAAGTCTGTGCTTCCCCCGCGACCTGGCCGGGAGGAGGCTCAGCCGCTGGGAGATGCTCTAGGAGGCCGCGGTGAGGACACGGCTGGCGTGGCCCGGCTGGAGCAGAGGTAGGTGGCCCGGAGGACGGGACAGAGCCGGGAGGGACCCAGAGCCACTCCAGCTCCTGTCTTCGTGGCTTCAGCCTGGTTGCCAGAGCTGGGCTGAGCAGACACCTCTGCCAGGGAGGACGATGAATGCAGTGGGAGGGGCCAGGTTGGCAGTGGCAAAGGGGCAGAGAGACCAGAAGTTTCCGGGAAAGCCCTGTGTCCTGTTCTGCCAACTCCCCTTCCATAGATGAGGTTCCATCGAGAGTCATGATCTCGGATCCGCTTTGACTAGGGAGGAGGCGAGCTCTTCTGCGGATGGATGCTGTCGGGAACAAATGTACCTTCCCCCCAATTTCTTGTGGGGTGTTTATCTTGCTTCATTCTTCTCTGGTGCTTTTCTGAGGGTGTAGAAGGAAAAACCGTGGAATCCATGCCCGCCTCTGCAGCTGGTAGGGACCCCCAACCCCATCCCAATATCACTGGACCATCTGAGAGCCAGGTCTGTCCACTCCTGTCTGTGGCCAACCTGGACCCTGCACAGAACAGGAAACATTGACTTTGGCCTCCAAAACTAACAGCCTTGATGCTCCTGGAGGGGACCCAGCTTGGGCAGGAAAATCAATGTCCCTTTCCCTGGAGACCCTTGTGGGAAGTGAAGCTGCCTGTGCCGCTGAGAGTGGTCCCTGGTCTGGAGCCTCTGGACAGCACAGGCTGACCCACCGCCCACCATGCAGGTCGGCATGGCACCTCCACGGGCACAGGTGTGGTCCCCACCTGTTAGCCTGGGCCCGGCCGTGCTGGCCCCCACCTTGGCTGTGTCCCAGCTCTGGAAAGTCCCTCTGTCTGCTTTAGGCACTCATGGGCCGACCTGACCCATCCTTGCTTGGAAGGGAGGAGGAAGCTGCTGCCGGTGTGATTTGTTTCCACCTCTTCTAGTTCACCTGGTTTCTGGGAACAGGCAATGTGACACACTTGGAGCTTTCTCCTTACCAGCATTGAAAATAAGAAATGTCTTGAGAAACTACATTTTTTCCACCGCCAGCTACTTCCTGGGTCCCCGGGGAGTGAGTGACGTCCTTAGAGGGCTGCTCAGCCTGTTTTCTTAGTGCAGGAAAGTACACACTCCCAGGCGGGTGGTGCAGCCACATGCTGCCTCACAGACAGATGCACTTGACCGTTGTGTGTGCTGCCGGGAGGGGAAGCACATCCTCCCTGGGGTCTGCTCAGTGTCCCTGCCAACTGGAGAGGAGGGACGAGAGACAGGGCCATGGGAAGCAGAGGGGAGAGAACACGCGGGAGCTTCCCAAAGCTGAGGGATGACCTCACAACCATGGCAGTGGCGTCAACAGTGGTAATGGTGGCCACGGTTGTGTGTTTCCCACATGGCGGATGCTGAGCAAACGTTGATTCTAACAGTCCCATCAAGGGAACGCTCACCATGGAAACCTCGGAGGGGCTCGTGGCTGGCCCAAGCTTCCCTAGCCAGTGGGTGGAAGACCCAAGACTCAAATCTATGTCTTCATCCCCAGAGCCTGTGCTTGTAACATCCACCTGTGCTGGGGACACCAAGCGTAGCTCTCCAAGCTGAGGCTGGCACCCAAGCTCCTCAGGTTTCCAAGTTTCCCCTTCCCAGCCGCCAATTGAGAATGCAGGAGGGACAGCAGGTCTGCTCCCCAGGGACTCTCATGGTCCTGTCTCCCTTGCCTCTCCTCCTCCTGCCACCTGGAGTCCCCTGTGATGCCGAGGAAGGGAGTCCCCATGAGCAGCAGCTCGGGAGGCTCAGGAGGACTTGGGTGGGCTCCATCCAGCCACAGGACGCTGCTGCCCCTCTGGGGCAGATGCAGCCAGCCAGACCTGGGGTGACCCCTGATGTCCCAGGAAGGGCACAGGCAGCTCCCCCTTCATTCCTGGGATGTAACCTCCCTGTTCAGGACAACCAGCGCGGCAGAATTTTTTCAGAACATGCTTCTTTCTGTTGTTCTTCCTGGTGCCTACCCCTGCCCCCCCCAGCTGTAATTAGCATGACTCATAAACCAAATATTCTGGCATTGAACTTCACCCATCAAAACAAAGATGAAAAGAGTTTCATAGACACAGCCATGCTGTGGCCATGGGAGCTTCCCATCTGCGTTCTGTGTTCCAGGCTTGGGCCCTGGTATGGGTCCCTGTTCCTGGGCGGGGGTGGCTGAGGCTCCGGGTCCTGAGGGGTGGGGTGGAAGGTGATAGAGCTCCAGGAAAGGCAGGAAGAAGAGGAGGATCTGAGGGCCGGCCCGTGGCTCACTCGGGAGAGTGTGGTGCAGACAACACCAAGGCCACGGGTTCGGATCCCGTATAGGGATGGCCGGTTTGCTCACTGGCTGAGCGTGGTGCTGACAACAACAAGTCAAGGGTTAAGATCCCCTTACCGGTCATCTTTTAAAAAAAGAAAAAAGAAGAGGATCTGTGACAGTCCCCATGCTCTGCCAACCGCTTTGGGCCCACTCGGCCTGACCATCCACTGTCCCCAGGAAAAGAGCGGCTGTTTGGGGCGTGGCCTCCTCCCTTGCCTTGTGAGCCCCAGAGATGCTCAAGTGGGGGTGATGGCCCCCGAAGATCTGCATCTTGGTTGCTTAACTGCCACATGGGCCGAGGGTAGTTCTCGTCCCTGCTTCACCCACTGAAATCGCCTTCTGCTGATGTCAAGGGACACGAGGTAGCTCTCTGGACAGGACCCTGCCATCTTCTGACCCATTTGCGTGGTGTGAGAAATCGCCCACTTTGGAGAGCAGTCTGGAAGAGCACGATGAAGCTCCACAGTGCGTTTCCTTCATGCTCTCTGGGGCAGCCCTCGAGCTGGTCTCAGGAGCCCGGGATGCTCAAGCCCTGCCTGGGGGCCTGCAGTGGGCCCTGGGCCTGCAGGGCCAATCCCAAGCATAACCGTGGACATGCGGTGTCAGGCTCACGCTTGTCGCCTGCCCCGAGCCCTGTGGTGGAATGCTGCAACTGCTGCGCCTGCTTCACCGTGGGGGGTGCTCATGGTGTGAGCAGGAGAGGGTCTCTTGCACCCTTTGGGAGGAATCCAGGTCCCAATTGCATGGTGCTTGTGCATAGGCCATAGGAGTGGCTCTTGGTGCATTGACACCCTCTCAAGCTGCCTGTTACTGCCTCACTTGATTTCCAGAACTGGGCTCAGCATCTGAGTGTGGCTCAAAGGGGGATATTGTGGGCAGGGACAGGGGATGCCCCCTCACAGTCCACCAGGATGTCTCTGGCTTGCATCTGAGGCTCCTGGAGTCAGCCCCTTCTCCAGCTGTGGACAGGGCTGGCACAGACCTGCAGGTCCTTCCTGGGGTACCCGCTCTGTCCAGGACAGCTGTTGGAATGGCTGGGCCTCATGTCTGACTATCTTCCTGGCTTCTGTAGGAATTTTTCCTGAAATGAGACAGAGCAGAGCAGGAGAGTTCCGGCAGCATAACCAGCACAGCAGAATTTTTTCAGAACATGCCGAAGGCCATGAGCCAAGGAGAGGGGAAAAGAAGTAGACAGGCAGGACAGGGGGAAATCAAGGTCCCTGTGCCCTCTGCAGGTCAGATGCTGCTCTTGGCCATTGCTAAAACCACACTTGGTGTAATGCCCCCAACCCTTGGATTTGGGTTTCACCCCCTCCCCCACCCCCAGTGGGACATCTGGTTACCAGCCGCCCTCTGCCCTGGAGACTGGGGAGGATAAAGGACCTCGCCTGGGAAAGCTGCCAGCCCTGGCTAGGCTGAGCCCGGTGACTCTGCCCTGCAGATTCATGGGGCTGGTCTTCAGAGCTGGGGACTAGTGTATGCTCGGACACACTCAACCCCATTCTCTTTGTGAAGTCTAAAGTGGGATCTGGTGAGAGATGGGGGATCTGGGTGGGTTTGGGGGTGGCCATGGGACTCTTGGGTCTTCTGGCATTCAGGGCAGTGCCCCTTAGCCCCATGAAGGTATGTCTCTGAGGGCAAAATACATGGTCCTAGAAGTCCCACAGAGTGTTTGATCAGCTGTGGATATTGGATTGAGGTGACTCTGGAAGTAGCACCCGCTGTGAGCCTGGTCGGGGCTGCTAGGGGGGTGGGTGAGGCCCGATGCCCACCTCCCCTTTGGTCTGTCCTCTGCTCCTGCTCCCTGTTCCTGCTGCCCAGTGGCCCCAACAGTGGTGCCCACCCAAGCCCGACCCCAGACCCCTAAGGAATGGGTAGGCAGAGCATGCAAGCTGCCTCCTCCCCCCCTGCAACATTGATCATGCACATCCTTCCGGCTGACGGGATGCAGACCCCAGTGCCAGCCAGTGCAGGTCGGCTGCTACCCGTCAGAGGGCGTTGGGAGCGGAGGAGACCGTTTGCATGCCTGCAGAATGTGTCTCCTCCTCCCCTCTTCAGAGCCTACCCGTGTGCTGTTCTCTGTCTGCCCTGCAAAAGCGATGCCCTGAAAACGTGCATCCAATGGGCCGCTCCGCCAAAGCCACTTACATTTTAAGGTGTGTGTATGTGTGTGGAGGGGGTGTTTCTGGTGATTCTGTGCCTAAATCCAAAGGAATTAAATTCCAGTTGTGGGTTTTAAGGTGCTCGCAGACTGGCACCAGTGAGATCTTAGCACATTGCCTCGATGAAGACAGCTAGGTATACCGCAGTGTCCTGCACATTCCTGGCATACAGTAGATGTTCAGTAATGCTCTGCTGAATCAGTGGGTGCAGGGGCTCAGCTGGTGGGTATATTCCTTGAAGCCAAAGGAGACTGCTGCTGTTCTAGCTATGACCAAGTAAGCCAACTGGGCGGCACCCTAAACCTGAGCCCAGCATATAGGTCGCTGGATGTGATTTGGT